CCCCCAAGGCCTCTCCCAGCCTGGCCTTGGACACTTCCAGGGATGGGGCATCCACAGCTTCTCTGGGCAACCTGTTCCAGTGCCTCCCCACCCTCTGCGGGAAGAATTTCTTCCTGATGTCCAACCTTAATCTCCCTCTTTCCATTTAAACCCATTACTCCTTGTCCTGTCACTCCCTGCCCTTGGAAAAAGTCCCCTCCCAGCTTTCTGGAAAAGGGTCTAAGTTTTCCTCGGAGCCTTCTCTTCTCCAGGCTGAACACCCCCAGCTCTCTCAACCTGTCCTCATGGCAGAGGGGCTCCAGCCCTCAGGGCATCTCCATGGCCTCCTCTGGACTCACTCCAACAGCTTCATGTGCTTCTGGTGTTGGGGGCCCAGAGCTGGATGCAGAACTGTAGGGGGGGTTCTCATGAGCACAGAGTGGAGGGAGATAATCCCCTCCCTCGACCTGCTGGCCATGCTTCTCTGGATTCCACCCATGATACAGTTGGTTTTCTGGGCTGCCAGCACACATGGCCGGGTCATATCCAGGTTTTCGTCTACCAGTACTCCCAAGTCCTTCTCAGGGCTGCTCTCAATCTGTTCTCCACCCAGCCTGCACTTGTGTTTGGGATTGCCCCAACCCAGGTGCAGAACCTTGCCCTTGGCCTTGATGAACTCTATGAGGTTGGCAGAGGCCCACCTCTCCAGCCTGTCCAGATCCCTCTTTGCAAGTGAAAATGCAAGTCCATTATATACCTTCTCCTATATAAGTACTCTTCCTATACACACCCCTGTTCTGTGCAGGAGTAAATCGAGAGCGATTCCAGACATGGCTAGACCAACTTTTAAGACGAGTGTATATTTCAGGAGATCAAATGTCCTTCACTTGGAGACACCTCTGGTTACTACTGCTATTTGCTATCTACATTGTACCACTGCTAAGGCATCCCATGATGGCCAAAATCCCAAGGGTGCCAAGAGGTGTACAGACATGGGACAAAAACACTGTGACAAAGGACCTTGAAGGCAAAGCAGGAACCTAAAGTTGCCTCAAGCTCCTGATGCTCATATTGTGGTGCATTATCTTTGGCAACAGGAAGGCTGAAAGGAACCTCTTTGTTAAAGGGATAAAATACAGAGGAATATTTGTAGCAACAGCATTTGTACAAGCCAAGAAGAAATTAGAGTAAATCCAATCACTGAACCATTGCAAAGCACCTCCGAGAAGATGTGAATAGTAACTAATGAAATATTCAATACAAAGGGAAGTAGATTACATGCCTGTGAATAATTGTGCTGAGCGTGTGCGTCGCTCAGTAGCTGAAGGGTCCTTGTTACACATGATTAAGTAATTAACTTTTTTTTTGTGTGTGTATAATTACCACAATTATTAGAGAGAAACCCAGTCCAAAGCTCCAGCGCCAGACATCGGTGGCCTGCAGGAGGTTTTGCTCCAGATTCCTGGAGCTGCTGATGTCCCAGAGAAGCAGGACCTGGCAGGCATCTGGCTGTGGCTCTCTGATGTCTAGGGGCTCATCATTTGTCTCTGAATCAGATGCACCCAAGAAAAAAAGGCAGCATAGACCCAGTCAGCCAAGGATCTTATTTATACACAATTATGTGTAGTAACACAGATATCCATGGTGGAAAATATAAGAAAAAAAGACGTGTCCCACCAGTATCTGATCTGCAGGGAGATGGCTTGGAGGGGCAGAAAAGCCAGCCCTAACATTCACCAGAATACTTTTTTCCTGCCTCTTCAGCTCCCTGAAGCAGCTCAGCACAAGGTGAGAGCAGAAACAAGTGGCCACCAAGTTTCATTTCATTGGTGGAAACTGTGGGGAAATGTGTCTGAAGTAGGAAGGTGAAATTTCACAGAGGTAGGTTTTGAAATGGCAGAGTCAGTTTAAACACTGACCCAAATCAAGGCAGAAAAAATTATGCAATTCATAAATAACCACGTATTTTTCCACCAGATTGGGTATGATATTTCAAAAAACCCAAAACCAAATAAAATTTAATCTCACAAGGAAATGCAAAGTTCTGATTTCACTCAGCATCTCCCCTTCTCACCCCAAATTTTTCTGTTTGCCACAAGCTGAAAGATTTCTTACTGTTTGTTAAGAAATGGTAATAATATCCATATCCTGACAGATTTTGTTCTCCACTGCTAATATTTCCCTCCTCTTCCTCCTGTTTCAACCACTATCCTCAGACTCTTGCTTCCTTACACTTCTCTTTCCATTTAGCTTTTCTTCCCCTATATAATATGTCCCACTCAGGTTCCACCCGCTCTCAAAAATAGAGTTACCAACTAACTGTTTAATTGCCTATATCTGATGTATTATGTATTTCCTACCATGCTTCTCATTTTAGATTACAAAATATTTGTGGCTGGGAGTTTCCTTCATTTTGTGCCATTCACTGCTCTGCCTGGCTGTCGCTTATCCTGAGGTATTACTGTAATAGACGGGATTAATAAGAATTATCCTCCAACCAGCAAGACTAATTTAATGCAGCTGTATTTTACATGACTGCTTTTATCTGTAGAGTGCTTGGTACATCCTTACAGCTTTGGCTGTGCTTTGTGTCAGCAGTGGTACAGATCCGTAAGGCTGAGAAGGGAATACCCCAACCAAGCAAAGCCAAGGATAAAATAGGAGCAACACAGGAGACCAGAAATTAGAGCAAGGAAAAAAAAAAAAAGGAATATTCCCAGATCAGAAATTAAATGCAATGGAGGGAGAGGCAAGAGGCAAAGTTTTTTTGGTCCCTCCTCTAGGAGCTGGGTAATGAAACTGGTCCAAGAAGGATGTATCCTCCAGAGAAGAGGAACAGCAGTACTGGAAGAAGAAAGTGTTTAGGAGGGTGTTTCAGATTGGATTCCACCTTTTGCAGGTTCCAGGCTTCACAACATTGAGGACTTCTTGCAGGGGAAAGCATTGGTGGCTGGGGAGAGCTCCCACATAGATCCATCAAGGACCAAGGCAGAACCAAGGATCAGAAGGCAACAGCATCTGTGGTGTAAAGCGGCCAAAACTGCTGGAATTACATCTGTTGGTATTGCCCGTCTGATTTATGGGCCACTTCCTCAGAAGGGTGTAAATATCCCCAACTGAATGGTCTCCTTGCTGATTTACACCAGTCAAGGTCTGTTCAAATGGCACAGAAAATCCAACACCTCTTTTTTTTATGCTGTGAATAGCATGTTGGTTTGGGATTTTCCCGTGCGCACACACACCCACACCCACCCACCC